TTTGTTAGTATCGACATGAATATATTAATTAGAAAAATATAAAATATCATATTTTAATAATAAAATAACATGTTAATGTTTTGTTAAATGCAATCAATCATTGTCATGTTACGAGTAAATTTACGTGTCATTCGATTATTTGTTATGTTTATTTATTTTTTACGAATTTCTAAACAAATATTTAATGTGTTGTTTTAAGGCTTAAATCATAAGTTTAAGAATTTCATTTAAGTAAAAAAAGTTTTTAAACTATAGCATTGTGGGGATGTTATAAATTAGTGCTTTGTTTTTGGTGTCAATGTTGTGTTTTCTATATTTGTTACAAAACTTAAGTATATATTTTAAAGTTATTACGGTATGTTGTGTTGTGTAAATAATGGAAATAAAATAAAGTCAGACGAATATCGCGAAATATTTCTATATTTATTTTCACCCACTGTTTATTCGGTTTGCTTAAGCATAAATAAATTTAGTTACTTGAATGTATTTTACAGTTAATGAAAGGTAAACAGAAATAAATTGTCATGTGTTCTATTTGGTAAAAGTTGTTAGGTTTCGCATTAAGTCCAGTTAGTCCAGTTAATAAGATATTATAGTAAGATAGATATGATAATATTATTATATTTTAAAGGAAGCGAAAGTGAAAATTTATTGTCCCAATTAAAAAAGAAATCAAAAGCTTCCAATTAGTATTTTTAAGAACAAAATTGTTAATTATTTCTCGTTTATCTGCGCTCCCAATTATACCCTTACCGCCTCACCAATCGGAATTCGTATTGATTTTGGTACAGATAGAGTACTTGCTTCTCGCACCGTCGGGATCAATTATCAGGGGAAATGACTAAATGCTAAATGACTATTTAGAAACTCTCAGTTGATGATGAAAAGGATTATCTGTGTTACAGCTGAATGTTCTAACCCTTTAGGTTTACGTAACCAATTCCACCGTTATGTACATGAATGCAGAGTATCTGAATTTCGAGAGATTTAGAGGATTATGTCATTGATTGGTTCAGATTTCGCCACCATTTCGTATGCTGTTTGCGTTTATTGGACGCTCCTGATAGATATATACTTTGTTCATTGAAATGACGTCGATAAAGTATATAAGCATAAAGAATATTCGTATGAAAAGTATTTTAAGTATGAGATAATAAATTAACAAAACCTCCAATTGTTTCACCCATACACAGTGTTACATAGATTTGTCACTATCAATAGAGAAACAAATTAAAATTGTAATTATTTGATAATTAATATGTCCGAAACCTTTACATACAATTTCACTAAAAGTAGTTGAAATATAAGCTTTATTAAGAATATTATAAATTTAATTCCTTCAGTTAGTTTTAACTATTTTTTTTATGACACAATTTGATTATTTTTATAAACCAATATTTTCTCACGTCTAGATATAACAAACCTTAACTTATAAAGAAAAAAGTCGAAATCGTTGTAGAATTTACGTCGAAGAAGTAAAATATATTTATAATTTTCTTTTCGTAGTTTTCATATTTAAAGATTGCCATATATGTAATATTTTTATTTATTTTTAAAAAATACAAACAAGATACTGGATCAAAAATACCAAAACCATAATCTTTAAAATATTTGAAAAGTTATAATAATATCACCCATTAAGTCTTTCTAGACAATATTTTGTAACAAAATTTAAAAATTATTACATGTAGAAACTATTTTAATTGAAAAAGAAAGTCAATCTTAGTTCAAATGGTTTTTAGTTCAGAAGAGTTAAATAAGAACCTGAGATGAGATGAGGTCGATGAAGAGGAGTGTGTAGCACCAATTTGTTCGAAAAGCGAAGTCGATTCTCATAAACATCGGACGAAAATGAATATCTACATTTAAGATATGCAGGTGTACAAGGATTTAATAAAATTGAATTTAGCTGACAAAGTATTCTAACATTTTTGTAACCTCGAATTGTAAGCAAAAACAGTTGACCCTTTTTTTACACAGCCTGGATTAGTCTTTTCTGTTTATACAGCAAGTTGTTTAAGGGAGTGTTATAAGTTCACAGAATATTTCATTTAAATTATCTTCTAGTTTATACATTTGGTAAAGGCTATTATCTTCCATGGTGTATTTCCAAAGAAAGTTGAAATCATTTTGTTTCTGTAAGTAGTAAATGGATAGTAATTGACTAACTTACTACTAGATTATAAGTGCAACTGAAGATGTTCCCTGACTAAGCGATCTCACCTTTCTGAAATTCAAATTATATGTGGAAGGAGGCACAGGTGCTCGCACAATGTTTATACCTTTTGCACAGCGCATAAGAAAGGGGAATGCGTATCATTTTGTCCGGATTAGGCAAGGAATGGAGGTTGGCCTAACGTTATAGAGACGAAATTACTCAGGCTCAACTTGACGGATATTGACTTAATAAATTATTCCCAAATATACTCAAAACCTAATAATTTGTACCGTCACTTCACTACAAGCAACTATTATTATGTAGATGGTCTGTATATCTTAGTTGTTTTAAATGCCCATTTCGTCAGTATAAAGTTCGGTCCTCAGAATGACTCTCACAGTAGTGCATTTTTATTCCACAAAAATGAGCATAAGTATTTGAATCTTTCTTACAACACCTATATGGTCGTTACTAATACATACCAAATTTAAATTTAAGTAAATAGTAATCAGATTAGTTACGACTGTCTGTAAATGTTATTACCATATTATCCAAAATTGTTCTTTTATATATTCAGTCATTTTCTCTGAGTGGTATTTGACCAAAACATATCATAGCTATGTATCCATATACGAGTACTTGAATATACAATTCAAATTTCGTATGGATAAATTTTGTGGTTAGTAAACATAGTCGATAGCAAACAAAAAAACTTGTAAAACTTCACTTTGTACATTATATAGATTATATACTATCTGTGTTACAATAGTTTTAAATCTTAGTTTTAAATTAAATAACATTAAACTGGAAGCAATATCCAAACAAAAATACTCGTTATTATAAACTGCACCAGCTTTCCTGGAGTTCATTTCATATTGTGATTTAATGTTATTGTTGTCGCAAATACTTTTTAACTTAAACCATACGTGTTCTTATTACATTTCTTTAAACAAAGAGAACTGAATGTACTTTATAGGATATTGTTCTCTAGTGATTTAGCTACCACTTTACATTAAATAAAATGTTTTTCCCTTTAAGTTTGTGTTTAGAATATTTGTTTGGCCACAAATGATAATGTTTTTCCGTGACAAATTAAATTGTACTATAACTTCCTCAAATTCGTATATTCGTGTTATATTAAATTATTATTATGTAATATTACTTTTTTCAGCATTATTATTGGCTTAACAATATTCATCTTACATTTTTAGTTTCTGTTATATCAGTCAACTAATTTAGTTAAGACAAAATGTCGATAACTTGACATTGTGATTATAGTGATGCCTTTGGGCGACGGTTTTCTTTGTTCAGGATTGAACGATAGAATAGAACTCTGGAAAATAGTTTTGTAACTTGAACCAAATGCTGAGATGACCAATCATCATATTATAAAATTTCGGATGAACAATTAATTGGGGAAATTATATTTAAATTATTAACAATATTCAGTTTCAGGTGTAAACGTAATTAGTAACTTTTATGTTTAATGTATATACATATGCATATCATATTAAATGCTGGTTATAAATTTGCATTGATATATTAATAAAATTCAATATTTCATGTATCACATGTATGTATGTATCTATACATTACCACAGCGTTGGTGAACCAAAATGCAATTAAGCGCTACATTTTACGATTGGCAACATTCCTAACGATCTCGTTTCAGTGTTAAATATTGTGAATATAGAGATTTATCAACTTTAAAATACCTTTGTGTACCATTTGTTACTCTCAATGTATTGGGACGGTGATTATGTCATAGTGATCTGTTGCTGTTTCTTTCTGTAAAATAGTTAAATTTAAACAAAAGTTTTCCATATAATTTATATGTCAATATTATTAATCTACTATATGTTTATACAAAATATGATATATTGATATGATTACATAACAAATTGGATGCCTTATTGACAATTATTTGTAGAGTAGAGATTGTTGGAATAGTCCGTATGTGATTCAAAATTATGTTTTTGATACATAATTGTATAACCCTATGGATTGTTCTATATAATACAAAAGTCTTATCAATTCCGTATCAAAATATCACAAGGTAAATTGTAAGAGACAGATAATAATCCAACGGGCCTTTGTAACAACTGTTTCTAAATTAAGCGGCCTCCTGGCTAACGGTAAAGGGACGCTGAATATTAATAGGTTCCTAATTTACTTGAGTTTCTTGGATTGCTATCAGTACTCCGTAAATTTAATTACAGGCTTTATTTAAGGAATAGATTTCAATGTTATGTTTCTGTGGCTATTGTTCAATGTGATAATATTGATTGCTTAATTATCTTCTCGTCCTACTTTATAATAACAAAAATAACATTGATTTGGAATATATAAAACAATATAAGAAGAATTCATGAAAAAGAAAAGCTCAATGGAATATCTAAAAAAATAGAAAGTAAACATTTAATTTCAATTCAATAACTCGTGATTCATATAGGTGTAAAAAACTCATAAAATAATGGGTTTCAAAACTAAAAATATTTTTTAGCGCTACTCTCTAATTACTGCGACAAGCATGGGCTATTGTTTAAAGTACGTAAGAATATTTTTAAATAAAAACTGTCCAAAATTGTAATATTATAAATATACCAATAATAAAATATTAAAAAGATTAAATTATTACGTCAGAAAGAGAATTTAACACCAATTTCTCATAAACATTAAATACTTTTATTTTTTTGATTGATTGATAAGAAAAGTCTGTCATATATATTTGATAATAACAAATATTTTTAAGTTTTTGAGGAATTTGTTTTGTTCCACGAATAAAATTAAGTCTTTAATAGTTTAAGTACTTTATTCTTAAAAATAAAATATAGTATTTAAATCAATTATAGTCGTATTGGTCAAATTTTTTAGACAATGCCTTTGGGTCCATCATCAGTATAGAGTTTCCAAACTTTCTCATCCATTCCTTCTTTTCTTCTTCCACGGCATTTGGATCCGCTGTCGTTGATGTTTTAGCTCTCGCAATGTTTTGGAGATATGATTCATACAAACTCATTCTTGGTAACACGGAGTTGTCTTCAGCCGGTTCCAGAGGCACGTTAATTGGATCAAATGGTAGTGTTAGCATGAATTTCCTTGGATCTATGTAAACGTTTTTTTCGCTTGGTTCGGTCACGTTTTTGATTGCTTCTGTGGTAACTACTGTGGTTGTGCTACTGATTGTTGTCGGTCGATTATTTTCATCCCAGATTACAGTGTCTAGCCATCTCGAAAAACTTGAAACTTTTGGGAAGGCATGGGTTTTGGTGTAGAGGGCGCAGGTGTGCAAAAATGAAGTTATGGCTATTAGTACGTTGTTCTGGATAACCGCTCCACCGTTGTCTTTCTGTTAAAGAAAAGTTTCAAATTATACGGTTGTTTGTTTATCCCTCAACTCTAAAATATGTATAAATATATATACTATAATATATTATTAAGCCATAAAATGTCATATACGGATGTATGATTTCATACATTTAAGAAAGTCCTTTGTTTGCGATAATTATTTATCGACGTGTATTATCAAAACTAATGAAGAAGATACTAATTAAACGATATTCTATATAACATTTTAATATAAGTCTTATAATTAGCAACTTCAATAAAAATTAAATATACAAAACAATATTGGACAAAAGAGAGTTTCACGAACATAAAATTTTGTGTATTTCTTATTGCAAGGTCGTTCGGAGCTATAGAAATATAACGAGTCCGAAATTTAACAAAGGCCCAGACTTGTTAACGCTCTTGACCCAACAGATTGAACTACACATTTGAAAGAACATTCTAATTTGAGGTTGTTTTATAAGGGGAAATATAAAAGTTCAAATGTATTTTCCTTTTTGTTTTTTTGTACTTAATAAATAAGAGTTTTAAATGAATAACAAATATAATTTAAATAAATCACCCACAAAAGTCGACTAATATGTTTTTGTTGCTAGTATTTATCAAATTTACTATGTCTTTTTTTGTTTTCGGAATCTTGTTTTGTAGCTAATGCACACATAGTTAATAGTGTATGTATACATACACACGAATCCGAAGTACTAAAAAGACAAGTTACGCTGTAATTATATGTCCTAATCAATTATATTACACTTTCTTCATCAACATAAACATTAGCATATATATTTACTGTGTTTGAGCTTGACCTATATCGCGGTGTTTATTTGCATACAAACATTTTCGACGGTCTCATTTGGAATGTATAAATAAATTTCATAAATCCTCGCATTTGGTGACTTACCCTGCAGAAATGTCGATTGGGATCTTGAACACCTCCGACACAAATGTACCTCCCGGGTATCAGCTTAGCTGATGGTTCACATATTGAAGAATCGATTATTGGAACGTTCACGACTCTCATGTGCTGAATCAACAAAAGATTTTATCAATTTATATAATCTTATCAAACTGTCTTACTATAAATTACATTGTCTTCCAAGTTAGATTACTTATAGAACACAATAGAAGTTTATGCATTTTATTGATTATGTAAATTATAGTAATCTTGTCCTCATACATATTAATTGGCTCTTTGAGAAACCTAATCTATGATATTAACTAATCGAGGCATTATTGGCTTTACTGATATCGAGAGAAATGTGCATTAGATTATATATTATAAGGAACAAAAGGCATATAAAGTTTCATAGCTTTTACTACTAGAAGTAGACAAGTTTTTTAGAAAACACATGTTACACAAGTGTAAGTTTGGAATCTTTATTTAAGTTCGCTATATTTCAGGAACGGTTACAAAAAAAATATTAGATTTGGAGAGTTCTCTATACGAATCTAGTTAAAAAACTATTACATATATTTATTTTATACTAAACAAACGTCTCATCAAACCACAATTCAGATTTACCAGTTAAATTCAAATTAATAATTGAAAATTATGCGCGAGTAACAAAATATATGTACCCCGGAAGGAGTCCAAGCCAGTATTGCACTCAGATAACCTAAAGTAACTTCTTCGTCAGGTTTCGGTAGTCGTACGCCGTGAATCTTCGATCCGAACTCAAGTGGCGCTGTCAATTTAACCGCCGATACTTTCGAATCGAAATTATTTATAAGCATTTTGATCTGGAAATTGGAAAAATACTTAGAGTTTTTTTATAAGTGTAATTTGTCACTACTGCCCAGTTACAAATTAACTTATTACCTTTTTATTCTTACTGATTTTGCAAGAAAAAAAAACTTTTGTCTAACGGCGTCTTTGCACTTGTCAGAATATAAAATATTCTTTAAATTAGTTTATTACATATTTATTACATATTTTTTTAAATAAACTGGCAGAATTTTTAAATTTACTTTGTTAGTTAAATATTACCAAATTTATTTAATAACTCTAAGTAGTTGCGCACATCTATGTCTTTTATTAAATTGATTCGAGTTATTTTCGAGACCTTTACGAGGTAATTCGTTGTGTTTATACTTTATAGTCGTAACCAAAAAAAACCAGTTTCAAAAATTAAGCAGCCTTAATTCTTTTTTAAAATAATAAGGTATTTTTGACTTCTAAGAATTTCACTAAAACTTTCTTGTATATAGAAAACCAAATTGTTAAAATTAAAAATATATTTAAATTGTTATTTTCAACGATAACAACGGAAATGCAGATATAAATAAGACTCCTACGTTAAAGTAATCAAAGAAAGTTATTTCGTATAACGATAGCAGCAATGTATACACAGGAATGAAAAGCGCATATATCGGATGTAAGGCTAAATCATTTTTATTACCGTAGACATTGTTCCGCCTTTATTGTTGTATGAGCTCCCGGTCCTGATGGTGTAGTTGCCGAGGTACCTGTGCGTCACGTACGAGGATATGACGTCACTGTAAACAAAGGTTTGCATTATTAATGTTATGGTAATCCTCTCGCCACACGGTGACAAATCCAGTGCAATAAATCAACCCATGAAACAAAGGCTCCGTCCTAGTTTCGTATATATGTAGTTCTATCGTCTAGTGTCTTGTCAACTACTTGTGTAAAATGTATTTTTTGCTTTCGATCAATAGCAATTTTTTAAACTACTTATATATAATACATTAATGTATATATAACTCACGTTTTTAAATATAACATTGTATGAAAGCCTTTTTTAAGGAACATATATTTTATGAGTAGTGAATGAAAAAGTATAGAAATAGAAAGTGGTTTAAATATATGTATATTAACTTATTCATTTTAACATCATAAGTCTTGAAAAGCAGTTTTAACTAAATTTGAACATCCTATACAATAGTACAATTACTTTACATTTAAAAATATTTGTTCAATACATAAATAAAAAAATATATAATTATATGTTGACGTCAATGCTTCGTTCAAATTATAATATTGAGTACTTTGAATAAAAATTTGTTATAAATAAACTTACCCCAATAAATATAGACAAGTAAGAACATTATTTGTATTGAGTATTTTGTATGAGGTATTGGAAACATTTTTACTATGGAAAATAATGCAAAACAAATTCCACCCTACCGAGGCTGAATATCATGAATATTCAGATGAAAGTTTTTTTATTCAAGAGTATTGTTTCAATAATTTGAATGAAAATAAATGATAACTTTATTTCTGACTGTAAAATGGTTGGAAGAAATAGTGAGACGGTATACTGGGCAACTAATTATAATATTATTATAATAATAATGCAAATAAGTATTAGTATGGGTAGCTTTTAAGTAAGATGTGTCTACACATGGGTCTATAAACTTATCACTTTCAAAAGAACCTTTTAGTTGAAAGCAAGCCACATGTTACACTTGAAATTTTAGACCTAAAGCGATACCTAAGTTTTAGAGATTCTCGTAGGACATACGGAGAGGAAGTTTTATTTTAGTTTCATGTACTATACTCACCACGGATGTCGTAACTCGAATCTTTTAAGGATATTTTATTGTCTCTCTGTTCACATATATTTAAGAAACTTACTTTCCTGTCCAAACGTTTTATTGCAGTATCGTTTTGTTTTTATTTATTTCAATTTGTTTTATTATATTTCATTTCGGAATAATGGTTTATAGTAGGTGTCATTTATTTAAACTTAAATCCTATATATTAATGCGAGTTCAATTAATAAAAGTATTTAAGTAAATAAATAAAGAATTTCAAATGAATTCTTAGAATTAGAAAAACTCTTCCAAAATTTAATCCTCTATCATTTGCAAAACGTTTCTAAACAATAACTTTTCGGGCTTTGAGAGATCAAAGTACAATTTTGCGGTTCTAATTACTCTCCTTTCACTCCTTTGTTGGTCATGTATTTAAAACGATATAAAAGAAAAATAAAGTAAGGATATCCTACTCAAACAAAACCGTATCCCTAATGAATGAATGCTTTGACCTTAATTTGGAATTGTTGAAGGTTTGGGAGTTTTTTTTTTAAGTAACGGTAAATAAGTATATAAAATTTTCTTTCAAATAAACACTGTCGTGACGTCGTCAGTCATCTGAGACATTAAAACTATAGTATCCAATAAAAATCAAATTACAATGTTTACTTGAACATATTTTTTTAAATGTGATCTCTAAAATTGACTATTAATAAAAAGTTGTATGGATTTTTAATTATTTCATTCAATTTAATAAGCCTTATAAATATTCAAATTCATTTAGGATGTCTGTATTTTAATACATACATTTTTGTTAAATACAAAACTATCTTCTCATTTAAGTATAGTTAAGCTCACCCATTTCATTCTAGGTCAGAATACTTACGACTCAAAGCATTTAGAGAGTGTAAGTAGCCAGTATGTGTTCAGTATAATGGCACTGCAAACGTAAGTTTCATTCTTCAATAACGCCGCTGTGTACGGATGTCGGAATATCTGTGTCACTGCAGCGCCAATTCTCTCCTCGCTATCGTAGATTTTCTCATCTATTGAAAAGTTTAAATTAATTATATGATTTAATATAAAAACAATAATTAAAAAAATAATAATTTATACGTCTCTATGTTCCGGCTGATATTCTAAAGTCGAATTCTAAACGGTTGCATAGCTTTTGGTGGCATAAAAACAATTTCATTCAAATATATTTTTTTTGTTATATTGTGAGTCTAAGGAAAGGATATCCGTACTTATTTTATGTGTTTAAAAGTATTTTTTATTATGAGACAAAGAATTTTATTTTGTTGCATGAATTTCTTCCAAAATTGTTTTAATTAATAGAAGTTTACCTTGAGTACGATTATTTGTAACTTTGAAGTCTCCACCTGAATCACGATCCCCTTTAAAATAAACGAAATTTCATTACTTTTTATCTACAAAAATGTAAAATTTTAATAAAGTTAGAAAGAAAATTAAAGATTTAATAAGTTAACAAGAAATATCCTACGGAGTTTTCTTTAGTTTTAAAAAATATCAAAAAAGATGAATTAGGGAACTCCTTATACAAAGAAATATAAAATCTTATCCAGAAAACTTCACGGTGAAGGTATTTTATTAGTGTTTCAAATAAAAGTAAGTATACTAAACGAAGTAATTTTAGAGAATTTATTAACTTCATGGAGTTGACACGATTTTTTTGTTAAAAACTCAAATTATGTGTTTCAAAAATAGTTCAGTATATTTGTGTGTGTTTATGCTTTGTGTATGTGTGTGTGTGTGTGTGTGTTTTACCTGATTCTCCTGTATCCTCATCAGTGTCTAATTTTCCCTGTACTTGTAGGGACAATATTAATAACACGCCAATACGCCACATCGCTGGTCTGGTGTACTGTTACTTTGTGTAGTTAGCTGATTGCCCTTTTGTGTAGAGCTAAAAAGGTTTTTGTAGACCTCACTAAATGATGAATGTTTTTAATCATTGATTTCATCTCATATTGCTTGTTTATCCTGTTGTTGTTTTTTTTATCAAGTTTCGGGATTTTTCCTAAATGGTTTTTTGACCTTTTATCCTGGGTTCGATTTAATGATAAAGTAAATTAAATAAAAAATATATTGCTATTAGATTTCGGATTGAATAATATTTTCGAAAACCATTTTCCCATATGTCAGTATTTATAATTTCATAAGTATAATTGATGTCATAACCGATCACCATTAAACTAAATATTATAAATAAAAGATGCTATTCATGGGATAGTATTAAAAGAACCATATTTAAGTAATAAAGATATATAGTATTAAAATATCAAAATTTAACCAATTGCCCACTCTAACTCATTTACAACTCTACATCAATTTACGCAGGATGTTTTCGTGCGGGCTGGGAGTGTTTGTGTCAACATCGATATGACCGCTGGAAATCGACCGAGAAAAGCGTATAAACTGAACGAACAATAAATGTCATATTTACTTATCTTAAGCACGGTACCATTAAGAGTTTTCTTAGAAAATTTATATTAAAATTTTGTATTTTAGAGGAGGGATATATATTCACAATGCTATAAATGCCTATTATTTGTTATAATTTTATATTATAATAAAACTTTTTAAAATCTTAACGCTGATGTAATTGTATTAAATACTTGACCTCATATTCTCTTACCAGAATTCTACCTACTCATCAAATTGATCTCTAAAAAAATGTTTTTTGAAATTTTATTTGTAACATTTTAGTGTAAAAGGATATGAGTATCATCGCCAAAGAGTACGGGCGTTCAAAAGCCAAGGGTATCACAACAAAATATAGCTCATGCGTATCAAAAGATTACCGTCTTAAGAGATTCAAATGCTGACACACTTCAATTTACCATGCTTAAGTCGTAAGGATTTTTAAGATTTAATATTTGAAATCTGCCGGTTAATACTTTTTGGATATTAAATTTTACTTGCCGTCTTTAATCTTTTGATTATTAATCATCTATTCCTATAAAGAGGTAACCGCATATAGAGGTAGTTTAGTGATGAATTGTATATAACTACAGGTTTAATTTAATTTGTTCAATAACTAAATTCTCCAATTTTCTCTGACACAAAAACCATTCGTGATAAATAAGCACCCTCTACTACATGGTAGTAATTAATTGTATTAAATGAATTAATTCCGAAATCTCTAACGAAGCTATTAAAAACTGTGATTCTGAACAGCTGCGAGGTAATTAGGGTCAATGGGTAATTTATGACATTTAAGCTTAATTTGAGTTCCAATTTAACTGAATATTATTTAGTAACTGGTTGGCCAAAGGCTTTGTAACAGAGTTTATATTGAATTGATTTAATTCTTTGATAGTTCGATTGCATGAATATACATATATCACATATAGTAATAATTAGAGTTATAAGGATTAATCGTCTGAAATATGGACTTATAAAGAGAAAATCTCAATTAATATTAATACATTTTTCTACAATATTTTAGAAAATTATGTTTTGAATAGGTTAATTCAGAATCCTATTAATTTTATAAATTCAAAAGTTTGTAAGGCTTTACGCTTGGGTGGGTATTAATCTTTATCCTGTTTGTCACTCTATCACATAAAAAAATACTTAATGCATTTTGAAGGAAATCTATAGCAACGTGGATTAGAAACAGTATAACACATTAAGATTATATTTTATTTTATAAGATGCAGGACATATCACACTATTTGTATTTTGAATAAAGACACGTGACACGGTTTTGGTAACCAAATTTGTTTCTTTAAAAGAACTATACATTTCTCTCTCATCTAAATTCACAATGTTTAAGAGAATGAGGTAGGGAGCAAAAATTTGTACTTTATAAAATTATTGTTTGTATTATATTTCACCGTCACAGTCAGAGAAAATTTACTTTATCCGGTTACTTATTATAATAATAAATAGATATATAAAAAAACTAATCGCAAACCGCGATTTTTATTACTCAACGCAAGGGAACCTAACGATGCTGGCAATTGATCATATATCCGACATAAAAAGCGATTATTACATGAACCTGACGAAGCGAAATCACTCCCCAGATTTGTTACAGCTCGGTTCAAAAAACCATTAAATTGATCTTCTTGTTCAATATCTTATAATTTGTAATAATGACAGTTTTTCTTCGTATAAAAAGTGGCAAATGCATGAATTACTCGTTTAGTAAATTGCTATCACTCGTAGATTTTTAACATCCTACGGTATCGAATATAATATTAAAGTAATGATCGAAATAAAAAAAATATAATATTTTCAAATCAATAAATCGAATAATTTAAAGTAAATTAAATTCCAATTGAATAAATCTTTTAATTTAATATAACTTCGCATCTCGATTATTATGACAAAAATGTTAATAGTCATACATTTTGAGGTTTTGAGTGAGTAAATAAAAACACTAATAGGTTAATATAATAAATTTTAAACTTTTTGAATATGAACTATATTTATTTAGATATTTATTCTCTGTTTCTAATTGAAAATGTTATAAAGTTGAAATTATGGTCTATTATAGGATTAAAAGGCAAAATCCTATGAGCTGGTAACGTTGTCATGAATTTCATTGCAAATGTGTATTTTAGAGTTAATTTTGTAGATGTTTATGTAAGCATTTTCGTTGCAGTTGTAAGCATACGTATTTTAGTTACATAAGTTTGCAGCCGCGTTTTTCAATATTTACGACCAAACTATGGTATTATTTTAGCTTGTTAAATTAAAAAAGATTCGTTAGTCTGTAAAAGTTCTGATTCACTGTGGCTTTAACTTTTTCATTTAATGAAAATTTTCTATACTGGGTTTATTTTAAGTGAAGAAACAAATGAAAATTGACTGGTGGTAAATTCCACGTGCAAGCCGACTCAAGCATCAGTTATGAAACAAAATCACGAGTTCGAGTTATATTTATGCTTTGAAACACATGCGTTAAACAACATTCTGTTCTTCCGTAATCCTATTTTTTTAATAATTTCTTTACGAAAACGACGATGTACCGCGTTATAGTATCCAGGCTATAATCTTTTTCTTTTCGAAAAATGGTTCACCGTTATAACTCCACGTATAGTCTGAAAATCTCATATTGTTACCATTACAGGCGGTAAGATTTTTTGCATTCTTTTGGGGTGGTTTAATAGATTTTTGTTTTATTTAATCAGTTATTTGAAATTTGGGGTTAGTTTATGTTATTTTTAGGAATAAACTTATGTTTAATATGTAGTAACAAACAATAATGATTTCTGCAAGTCATTTTTAGACTATCCAAATAATCGGGATAATTTATTTAACTACATCGTTTTTAGTATGTATATGGAAAACAATCTGAGAATATTTTAGAAAATACGATTTATATAGTAAATGAGTTTTGTGTTAACTTATATTACATGCTTCTAGTATTTGATATTCCTGGTAGTGTAAATGCATTTGTCTCATCCAATCCAATCATACACCGTATTTTTGTTGACCTATGAGATGTCGTAGGTTGTTCATAGTAAGACTAATCTTCTATGAACATTTCAATCAAATATTAAATAATACGCCAATGTCACACTATAAAAGATGAACAACCTCTCATAATTTTATTTAATTTTTTAAATACATGTTACAGATGAATAAAGTACTGAGCAAAACTCCAACTTTCAACTAAAAAAAAATGGTAATTTCATCCCCTACATCACGTAGACGTTAGCGACAAATTGGTTTCGCTTTACATCTAAGAAGGCGATAAACAAGATATCAAAATGCCATATAAAAATTATTATGCGTGAAATATGTATTCATGATAAAATTAAACATAAAATTCTTGACCAAAAGTAATTTGAGATGATTAATTTTCAGATTTTTGAAAGAATATTTAAAGTCCTCGTGTGTTTAAATCAGCGTATACTGTCTTTACTAATGGTTTTCACAACGGCGAGTAAATCTACTACTATCATAATCATGAGTAGATTATACAACAGCAGTAAATCTGGCATTAGCGTATATAATGCCACATAAAGTTTTAACAGATGATGAAATTGATTTTATTAGGAGTATTAAATTAGTAATGACAAAAATTTAAAAATAGCACTTAACCCTTTTGCTCGTTTGCTTATCGTTTATAAATAAAAAGGGATAAAATATAAATTAAACAGAATATTAATAAAAAAACGAAAACTTGGAATACTTACTTTATCGATATTATCGGCATACACATATATCTAGTTTAAAAACGTAATTTTATGAAAACATAACATTGCAATACACAGATTACATATAAAAATCGATCTCGCTTATGGTACATATGTTTATTTCTTTGATACTTTTTATTTTTAACGCCTGTGAATATTTAAAATTTCAATTGACTGTCGGCGGGGTCGTTATCGGAGAAATGTCGGCGAAGTGTCGGGGAAACAACCCTAATGTTGGGTAATTGCGGAGTTTGGAAGGAAACGGCCTTTAGGGGTGTCATATTCTGATAAAACCTTGTGAAACCTGCTTTTGAATGTCATGCTTCCTTTATATGAACCAATTTCTTGATTTTTCTTCTCAAATATTGCTTGAAACTATATGGAATAAAGGTTTTTCTTGAAAAAATTATTCATTGGTTCCTAAAGTAATGTTATTCTGACTTTATTACATAATGTCAAATAAAGATAAAAGACTATAGACAACTCAATTTGCTTCACTCCAAATATTTCGTTCCACATAAACCTCAACCGCGGCTTTATACCAAACAACCATTGTTGTCATGATAAATCGCCTGTTTCCGGTATCTGCGCTTTGATAGCACTAGATTTATGGTCACTTGTCAACTTTTATCGGTTTTCACTTAATACCTTTATGGCTTAACAATGGAGTGAGATCGATATATTGTGGTGAAAATTCTGTTGAAGCGGTTCTCGTCGCTTTGGGTTACAAAAAAAAAAATATATTTTTTTACCAAAAACAAAAAACAGTTTACAATGGATTCCCTACATTATTTAACATTACTTTTAAATTTAAATGGCTCAATATCCTATATATATGGAATAAGGGTGGTGGGATCATATGGCTGGAAAATTGACCATGTTTTATTAAGAAGTAATTTGTTGTTTAGTATAATATTATAGTATGCTCTTATTTAACGTTTATATTCAGGTCTAACCAAAATATTTGTTCCAGAAGCTGGTGGTAGGCGGTCCTAACCAAAGAAATTGGAGAGGTATTCTTATAGCACTGCTCGTCATAGTTGCTGTACTGGCTCTGATTGTTACCTCAGTGGTGCTACTGACGCCGCCTGATGAGGGACCTCGTGTTAAAGGAAGGAGATTGAAGATACAAGATCTGTTAAGCGAAGATTTGGTTCCAATCAAGTGGAACGGTACTTGGATATCTGGTAAGTTATATTCACTAAATTCATATCTTGGAGCTTTATACTAGTTAAAACACCATAATTTATCTTATATTTATAAAAAATGAATTGCTGTTCGTTAGTCTCACTAAAACTCGAGAACGGCTGAACGAATTTATCCTATTTAAGTCTTGAAATGTGGAGGTTCAGGGAAGGTTTAAAAGCTGGAAAAAATTTAATCATTTCCTGAAAAACCCTTAAAACAGACCTTTTCTATTTTCCATACAAACGTTTCTTTTGACATTAAATTTGACAACTAACTAATATGTCAATCATTCAGAACACGGAGATTTATGGCTTATAGGTAAACTCTAAAATATAAATAAAAAAATATTTATTTATCGATTAAGGCAGTACGAAGTCTGCCGGGTCAGTTAGTATTATTATAAAAATAAATCGCAATGAAAAAATCAGATAAAAAATAAATATATCAGCTTAAGCATAAAACATGAATTGTATTCTAACTTTATAGTTAAGAAATCGGTATATAAAAGATCAGATACAAATTATATAAGAGTACAAAAGCGAAAATTCTTCACACTTTTCGATCAAATCACATAACAGAGGATGAAATATCAAAATGGGGAATTTCTTCGTACGGAACTTACTTTTACAATATTCTTTTCACTGCTTTCCTTCGCTTCATAGTATCTGTCGAAGTGTGTTAGAGAGTACTAACACTTTACAGTCGGGAGATTTTCAATTTGATAATATTAAATTTATAATATATTTTCATTGTAAAATTTAATACGTATATAAAGTTTGAGGAATATATTTTTTCAATTCAATACGTTGTATATAAAGTATGTCAATATATACAATATTTTCAAATACAGTGCCTATAAAATTAGGAATACAGGCTTTAATAACGTATATATTCAATAAATTCTTTTATGAAATCAGTTTAAAGATAGTACTAGGCACGAAAAGATAATTTATTTGTGTATAATTAATTTAATCTGATCTTACAAGGACGAAGAAAAGCTTTATTTGTAGTTAAAGTCCAAAAATTTATTACCACGACGAAGTTTTGATATAGTTTATTAATTATAGAATTAAATTTTCATTCATTTAACATGAAAACGAATCACTTGTCTAGTAATAATTCTAATTTAATCTATTTGAAAATCAAGTAAATAGTACTGAAAATGTCATCAATGAAAAATTGCTAATAGAAGCTAGTATGGATAAATTCGATAAATAAAATTTTGTAGACCATTACGACATAAAATCTCCTTTCAAGTTAATTTAAAATGTTATTGTTATTACTTTTGAGCAGTTGATTTCTTACATTAAAATAACAAGTTGAATATTTGAGTGAAATACCATTCAATATTATAGAAATAGATTTTAATAAACTAAACTGTAAAAATCCTAAAAGTCTATACCTAATGGAAATTAATTCCGTGAGTCTTATTTGAGTAACTTAGAACATTCGTTTTACTTTTCATGCATTGAGAAAAACGTTAATCTCTTTTATTTTTCTTGTATTTGGAAAGCTAATGGTTTTCTTTTCGTCTATTTTGTCAAGTAAAAAGGGAATGAGGAAATCGCAGTATTTTTTGTAATCGGAAAATCAAACATAGACATCTTGGCGTTGCTTTGCCTTTGTAATGTAGTGATTGATTATAAATGATAATTGTTTAAAGTTGAAATATGAGAAGTTATTTAAAGTATTATTAATTGTAACTTACTTTTTCAATTTTATTACAAAAAAAATCCTCAATTGTTGTGCGTATTTAGTATTTATTTTGTGTCTTCTACTGTGTATATCTGGCAGGTATATTCCGATAAAAAATTTTTTTCATTCAGCGATAACTTGATTTTTCCCTAGAAATTTTATCAAACTAAGACATGATCTAATAAAAGAAAATGTAATTCAACAACACCTTTGCCGACTTGTTTATTACTTTTTATATATAATTCACAATTGAAAAATTGAGGAAATCCTTTGTATGGCAATCAGCTTTAAAATTTTATTTGAAATCAAATTTTTTTAAATCGTTGCTTTGAGATACGTTTTTCTGAACTAATGAATTAAATGTTTCTCAGAGGTTGCAAGGTGTAACTTAGCAGTGTATAATGACATTTTGTTTTAAATAAAAAATCATAGCGGCTTCATTTATCTAATTTATCCGTTTTAAAGTTTCATCAATGTTATTTTTTATATTTTAAGCAACACACACACACATACACACAGAGACGTATACTCACACATACAAGTTCTCGTAGCTATAAGCAAAGACGTTTCAATGTACTAACTAATAAAAGTTAAATATTTTATCTATTTACTTCATATTATATTTAGTTCTATTTTTATGATAACTTTAGAAGCATCTATACGTAGGGCCACTTACCCTGTCAAATGCTATTCCACTAGCAAAAGCAAGATCAAGTTTGCCGTAGACATGAAAGTAACTACACTTGGCAGTCTGCCGAACATAGTTATTTACTGATACAGTGTAGGTAGCATTTGTTCCGTAAGATTTATTACTCTATCGTTCTCTCTTCTTTTATTGGTTTCTTTTATGATTGTGGAAAAGCGAAGATTACTTGATCTGCGATGTACAAAAATAGATGGACTATTTTCGTAAAACAAATCTTTTCCGCCACTAAAATAAATTTCTATTTAAAAGTACATAGTTGCTTAAATAAGGTCTACGGTGAGACATTTCAATTATTTTTATTAATGAAAGAAATAATTAAATTTTATAAATATATCGAATATGACTGAGACGACCATTTTTTTATGTGGTATTAAAGAATTCAATTGCTTTCACCGCACAAAAATTAGATGACTAAAAATATAACAAACTCATTTGTTTCTCGTTAGTCGTTAAAATCGTTACGAAAGATATTGTCCGCTCCGTTGAACCGAAATATTAATACTGTCTCAGATACATTTTAATGAAACTACGAATATGAAATTAAAAATTCCTATTCAATGCTTTAAGGCCATAGAAACAACAATTCCGTTTATATTTTAATGCAATAAAGTAAAGTTTTTGAATCCGATAATCGCATATAGAAAAATATTTTATGAATAACCTTCTTTCTCTTAATACCTATAATGTTGCTATTATTAATAATTAATATTCTCGATTATTATTACGCATTTAAATTAATGCTAAATTAAATATTGGATGAATGATCATACATTTCAGAAATTGTATAAGATCTCATAGATAAAGTGATTTAATTAGAAACATATTTCGGTATTTTGGTCTCAAATACTTATAATTTGACTTCCGTGACCATGACCTGCTAATTAACTGAAATGGCGAGTTGAAATCGAGTTAAACCTAATAATAAACTTTTATTTTAAGTGTACGTAATATATTATTAATATTTCGAAAGTAATATCTCATGAATAACATATCTAATTTTAAAGTAATGAAAGTGTATAGAAGATTTAAACATATATTTTTTGTATCATAATAATAGTAGATCAAAATTTGTAAATTTTTATTGCTTTTGATAGAAAGGATCACTGAAATATATGGAAGGAAACCAACTTTTTCCGTGCTATTCTCTGTACTTTAAGCAAATGAAATTAATTACTGTCTTTCATTTAAATACGAAACGAAAATGTAAAATATTTATATGTATTTTATAGTTAAAACCGTAATTATTGTCAGTATAATTAAGGTAATTATGGTTTTACGTTCTTTCTTTTCTTAGAAAATTCTAACAAATTATAATACTTGAATGAATAACAGTATCTTATTGAAGCTGATTAAGAATGCAAGGCAGAACACGTTACATTAGTCATTGCATTTAGTGCAATGACATTTAAATGAGAACAGTTAAGAGATCAAATAGATAGAAGCGTGGAACATTGCCAAACTGTTACATAAAACGACTCGCTTCTTAAACACAATACACCGAAGTAACCCTGAATATTATCCTAGTTATTAAATTACCTTACACGTGTGTCTTTTAATAATAATAGGATGGCTTTAGTGCGTTTACAAAAGAATAATTATATACAATATAAAAAAAGTAGTCATTGAAAAAAAAATAAAAAAAATTAAACCAATTTGTTGAACAAATTCAATCAAAATAATCGAATAATCATAAACCTTTTATAAACAATGTATTATGTATAAATAAATGTATTATATAAAGCAGATCTGTTTTTGCAAACTTCTAAATAGTAATTATACTCTTCTTATCTATTTTCTCTCTAACGGCTAACATTTACATTCGTTCATGTTCACTTCTATGATAATGGATTCTCTCATTACGACGTTAAGATAAAAGTAAGACTAATAAGCTTTTAGTTTTCTGTACATTAATTCTTATCACGATTAATATATTTTTACGCAGTTTCATCTTCTATTATGGAATAAAATAAAATCTTTAAGTTTATTTGTCTTATTATATGTGAATTTTTGCGTGACAAGAATTGTAGTGTAAACTTATCAAGTTAACAAAACAAGGGAAACAAAATCCAAACTTTTTGGCGTTACTCCAACTATGCAATGCCGATTCACTTATCATTCACAGCATGTGACTTTTATAATTTATCTAAGATGTAAATGACAGTAGTTTAGTTGAATGTCTTCCTTACAAAACTTATGCTATAACATTACATTTTGACTATTCTGAATGTCCTTATTTGTGACATATTGAATAACATTGTATAAAGTTATGCGACAAGAAAAGGTCGACAGAAAGCACTCTACTATGGTAATTGATTTTTGCATAGTAGATAATATTTATTTGTGAAATAGTACTGTAGTAAAGAAAACAGGTGCTAAAATCTTGATTATCTATGTTATTTTCAAATGGCAATAAACGATGATAGTTTTAATAGAAATAGTAAATAAAATTTCGTAGCGACTATTTTCCGACACTAAAGAACCTTTTTAGTAAACGGTTTCGTTTACGAGAAGAAGTCTTCTTGTCATAGTGCCAATTTCATGAAGGCATATGCCTACAAAGACACTCATTGTATATAAACGTTTTATGAGAGTAGTATA